AATCCTGCAATTTGGTTTCTTATGCATAGAAAGTTTTGGTTTTTATGGAATTGTGTTATTGAGGGTTACTCATGGTTTTGAATCAGGTGATATTCATGGACAATACCAAGATCTTTTGAGGCTATTTGAATACGGAGGCTATCCTCCATCAGCTAACTATCTCTTCCTTGGTGATTACGTTGATAGAGGAAAACAAAGTCTTGAAACAATATGTTTACTCTTAGCTTACAAAATCCGTTACCCTTCAAAGATATTTCTACTGAGAGGAAACCACGAAGACGCGAAGATCAATAGGATTTACGGGTTCTATGACGAATGTAAACGGAGATTCAATGTACGGCTTTGGAAGATATTCACAGACTGTTTCAATTGTTTACCTGTTGCAGCTCTCATTGATGAAAAGATCTTGTGTATGCACGGAGGTTTGTCGCCCGAACTTGAGAATTTGGGACAGATTAGAGAGATTCAAAGGCCTACTGAGATTCCAGATAATGGTCTTCTCTGTGATTTACTTTGGTCTGATCCTGATCAGAAGATTGAAGGATGGTCTGATAGTGATCGAGGTATCTCTTGCACGTTTGGAGCTGATGTAGTCGCTGAGTTCTTGGATAAGAATGATCTCGACCTTATTTGCCGAGGCCATCAGGTTAAAAAAACAGACTTAAAAACCTGCGGTTTTCGGTTATTTAGAGATACTTTTATGAGAACTTGTCAATGTAAATGTATTGACTGTTTGTTTGCAGGTAGTGGAAGATGGATATGAGTTTTTCGCGAAACGGAGATTAGTCACGATATTCTCAGCTCCAAACTATGGTGGAGAGTTTGACAATGCCGGTGCATTATTGAGCGTAGACCAATCTCTCGTTTGCTCTTTCGAGATTCTGAAACCGGCCCCATCTTCAGGCAGTGTTCCTCTCAAGAAGGTTAGTTTCCACCAAGAATCATCCCTTCTTATGATAGTGCAATTGGTTAGCTATGAACAATGTGTTTTCTGTTTGATCAGGTACCGAAAATGGGCAAGTCTTGAAACTCTTCTTATTCACTTGAGAATTGGTTTCACAAGCTCAAGCTAGGCTCTATGCATTTCTTCAGATGTAGCAATGGAGAAGAGAACCTTAAAAGGCTACTTTTACATAGTCATCAAAGAAGAAGCATCTGTAAAAAAAACAAACAATG